GCAGCTGGATGTAGTATTCCCCATGATGAGACTGGTAACCAACTCCATGGGGGAATCTATTGTGAGCAGCTGGCTAGCTGACTAGACTTACGGATGTAGTCTGCTTCCTTTATATAAGAAGAGGCCTTGGGGAATGGTCTCTAGTTTATGGTACACTTGGATCTTGCATGTATCGTTCAGCAGCCTGCCATGCTCTGCTGACCTTGGGACTTTCAGTGGACTTGAATTAATGGCTGGTGTGTGGTGTGATAACATTGAGACTGTCCCTTTTTATTTGTCAGCCTTCAGTTTGTCAGCCTCAGCAGCCAGCAGCTGTCTGAGTGAAGAAAAGCCTCCAGCTCCAGTGGGCCGGGAGCAGGCGGCAGAGCTGAAGCCCAGCCCCTGGAACCTGGCATTTGGAACTCGGACTTAAAGCCTCCAAACTGTAAGAGAGTAAACTCCTGTTCAGGCATCTCATTTGTGGTGTATTCTTGTAAGAGCACCAGTAGGGAACCAGGCACCTTTCTTCAACAACATAAACGATGGCTACACACATAGACCTTGCCACATGGAATACACAGGAATCAAACTGACTACATCTTGGGGAAGACGTGGTGGAGAAGCTCAATATCATCAGTCAGAACAAGACTAGGAGGTGATGGTGGAACAGACCATCAGTTGCTCATACGTAAGTTTAAGTTGAAACTGAAGAAAATTAAAATGAGTCCATGAAAGTCAAAATACAATCTTGATGATATCCCACGTGAATTTAGAGACATCTGAAGAATAGATTTGACACACTGAACACCAGTGACCAAAGACCAGATGAATTATGGGATGATATCACTAACATCATGCATGAAAAAAAACAAAAGGTCATTAAAAAGACAGGAAAAAAAGACCAACATGGATGTCAGATAACATTCTGCAACTTCCTCCTAAATAGGGAGTAGCCAAAGTGCATGGAAAAAACGATGAAATTAAAGAACTGAACAGAAGATTTCAAAGAACAGCTCCAGAGGACAAAGTAAAGTATTATAAAGAAATGTGAAAAGATCTGGAGTTAGAAGGCCAAAAGGGAAGAACATGCTTGGCATTTCTGAGGCTGAAAGAATTTAAGACAAAATTTAAGCCTTGAGTTGCAACATTGAAAGAGTCTATGGGCGAAACATTGAATGATATAGAAATTATCAGGAGAAAATGGAAGGAATACACAGTCACTGTATCGAAAGAATTAGTCGATGTTCAACCATTTCAGGAGGTAGCATATGATTAAGAACCGATGGTATCGAAGGAATTATCAAAAAACAAGTCTCCAGGAATTGATGGCATACCTGTTGAAATGTTTCAACAAATGGGTGCTGTGCTGGAGGTGCCAAGAGATTTGGAAGACAGCCACCTGGCCAGCTGACTGTGCTCATTCCAAAGAAAGGTGATCCAACAGAATGCAGAATTATTGAACAGTATCATTAATATCACAGGCAAGTAAAATTTTGCTGAAGATAATTCAAAAATGGTGGGAGCACTATATTGACAGGGAACTTACAAATTTGCAAGCTGAATTCAGAAGAGGACATGGAATGAGAGATATCATTGCTGATGTCAGATGGATCTTGGTTGAAAGCAGAGAGTACCAGGAAATGTTTACTTGTGTTTTATTGATTGTGCACAGGAATTTGACTGTGTGGATTATAGCAAATTATGGATTACATTGCAAAGAATGGTAATACCAGAACTCTTAATGTGCTCATGAGGAACCTGTACATAGACCGGGAGGCTGTCGTTCATATAGAACAAGAGGATACTGCGTGGTTTAAAATCAGGAAAGGAGTGTGCTGATGTTGTACCCTTTCACCATACTTATTCAATCTGTATGCTGAACAAATGATCCAAGAAGCTGGACTATATTAAGAAGAATGTGGCATCAGGATTGGAGGAAGAGTCATTAACAACCTACAATATGCAGATGACACTTCCTTGCTTCCTGAAAACAAAGATGACTTGAAGCCCTTACTGATGAAGATTAAAGATTGCAGTTTGCAGTATGGATTACACCTCAACGTGAAGAAAACTAAAGTCCTTATAACTGGACCAGTGAGCAGCATCACGGTAAGTGGAGGAAACATTGCCGTTGTGAAGGGTTCCATTTTACTTGGATCTACAATCAGCACCCAAGGAAGCAGTGGTCAGGAAGTCAGATCTTGTATTGCACAGTGAAAATCTGCAAAGGACCTCTATAAAATGTTGGAAAGTAAAGATGTCACTTTGAAGACTAAGATGCGCCTGACCCCAGCTGTGGTATTTTCTGTCACCTCATATGCCTGTGAGAGCTTGACAGTGATAGGGAAGACAATGGGAGAAGTGATGCATTTGGATTGTGGTGTTGGCAGAATAAATTGAAAACACCATGAAGTGCTAGAAGAACAAACAAATCTGTCTTTGAAGAATTCAACCAGAATGCTCCTTGGAAGTGAGAATGGCCAGATATTTTCTCCTGTGCTTTGGTCATGCTGTCAGAAGGGACTGTTTCCTGGAAGAGCATGTCATGCTTTGTAAGTGGAGGGTCAGAGAAAAGGGGAAGGCCCTCAACGAGATGGATTGATGCCGTAGCAGCAGTGATGGGCTCAGCTATAGCAAGGATTGTGAGGACGGTGCAGGACCGGCTGGTGTTTCTTTCTGTTGTGCACATGAGGTTGTTCTGAATCAGAACCAACACAGTGGTGCCTAACAACATAGTGTCAACACCCACAGGCAGTCACTGTAATGGAAAGGAAATTCTAGAAGAAAAACTTTTTTTTTTTTTTGTATTATATTTTAGAATTAGTCTGTGTCATTTGTGGTAGTTAAGGTTGTGGTCAGTGTGGCTGGACCTGGTTGGGTGGCTGGGCAGCTGTGGTGTTCCTCCCCACTATGAGACTGGTAATCAACTCCATGGTGGAATTTGCCACGAGCAGCTGAGTAGCTGCTTTAGGGATGTGGTCTGCTTCTTGTATATAAGAAGCAGCTTTGGGATTGGTCTCTAGCTTATGGCATGTTTGAACCCTGCATGTAGCCAAGTTGTTCAGCAGCCTGCCATGCTCTGCCAATCTTGGGACTTTTAATGGACTGGAATGAGCAGCCTGGAGTGTGGTTTGGTAACATTGGGACTGTGCCTTTTTACTTTTGACCTTGGGTGTGTTAGCCTCAGCAGCCAGCAGCTGCCTGAGTGAAGAGAAGTCTCCAGCTTCAGTGGGATGGGAGCAAGAGACAGAGCTGAAGCCCAAGGTTGAGGGGCTTTCACCCAGCCTCTAGAGCCTGGCACTTGGAATTTGGACTTCTAGCCTCCAAATTGTAAGACAATAAACTCCTGTTTGTTAAAGCCATCCCATTTGTGGTATGTTTCTGTCAGAGCAGCACAGAGCTAACCAAAACAGTCGCTGTGCATTTTTACTTAAAATTTTGATGTATTTAGATGAAAAGGATAACGTCAAAATGAATTAGTAGGGCTTTCTTTGGGAAAAAAAAATTCATCTTAATTTAAAAGTTGTTTTTTTAGTAATAAATATAATTTTTTTTCTTCCCTAGGTCTGGGTGAAATAAACTACATGCACGAACTTCTCACAAATATGGTTCACAAAAGGTGTGCATAAAATAAGACATCCATATTACCTGTAAACTGCTACATTGTTTCTGCCTTAAATAATTTTAGATACCTCAGTGAGTCCTCCCTGACTCTGGTGAGGTGAGGCTCTCGTGTATGTCTGCCCTTTGTAAATATTTAATTTTAGGACTTTGTTTCTTAGATTACAGATCTACCCGCTCCACTCAAGTGTGACCTTGGAAGAACAGAATAATGTATTTTTAAGCCCAGTTCCTGGGTACAGAAAGGTAGGAACTTGGGGAAGGCAAATTCTGGGCAGCTGAGGTGGCCTCAGAGACACTGGTGATGGAAGTGTGAGCTTCCTGCCTCCTACAGTGAGTGCCATAGCCATGGTGTGGCCTTGGAGTGGCCCTGGAGTGCCTCCTTATTTTGTCAGGAACTTTGCTCCCAGCTCAAGTTCTTACTTCCCCAAGTCTGGGGTGTTGCAGCTCATGGATTTCAGGGCCTTTTCCTGTCCGGCACACCTCACACTTTGGGACTCTTCTGGCCCGGGGCCCTCAGGTGACATTGAGTAGGAACCACATTCTTGGTCCTGATTTGGAAGGATATTTTTATCTCCAAGGATGTCCTGTTACCACTTCCCAGAGCTGCGTGAGACGGCCAGCAGCCCTAGGCTTGCGGCCATGCCGCCTTACTCCACTGGGGACAGCTCTCTCCCTCTGCCTCTCCCTCCTCCTTGGACATCCATTCTCCTTCCTCTTCCTAGTCTGGGAACCCTCTTCCCCCCAAGCTGTGACCAAAACAGAAAAGTGGTTGATTTCAAAATCCGAGTCTAGTATTCACATGAAGGTGTAAAGTCATTTTCAAGTTCAGGGTCTTGTGAACGTTTGCTTTGATGTCTGGAGCGTGAGGCTAACGTCAGATTCTTTTCTTTGGTGTTTGGTAGATTATTCTGTCCACCAACATTGCGGAGAGCTCTGTGACTGTCCCGGATGTCAAATACGGTAAGCTGCAGCTCCTCCTCGTGGCAGGACCACTCTTCACCCTCCCCTCCGTGTCTCCTCCTGGTTTTGGAAGTGGACTCATGGTTTCCCCACTTCCTGTTGCCTACTTCCTCATCATGTGGAATGAACCTTGGGGGCACATTGCTCCGAGGTGGTCACACCTTGTGGGCACAGAGGGTGTGGAGTTCTGATGGTCAGCTGTTAGCGCGAGGAGCTGTGCAGTAGCCAGCCTTCCACGTGTGTGTTCTCGGCTGTTGTGTGGGATTTTCTTCTGTTTATTTGTATTCGAAGCTAAGCACAGGCCAGTCCTCTTCTCGATGCTGGAGCATGAGGACTAGGACAGCATCCCTGTCCTCGTGACAGCTCCGTTCCAGCAGGGACACAGACAGCAGCATGTCGAACGTGGTGTCTGAGGTGGGGATGGATGGTGTGTGGGAGACGGAAGCAGGGGAGGAGGATGGTCAGTGGGGGACGGTCTCTGCAGACGTGTGTGTGAGCAGAGGCCTCGGTGAT